GAGCACCCCATCTGAGGTAACCCATTACCTGACGGAGCTCTTCCAAGAAATAGTGCCAGTTCTCCTCAGACAACTGGCAACAGGAAAAACCTGAGCTGAAGTCTCTTTTCCAAAGAACTAGTCTGTTGCTTTTCCACGGTGTCGTCTGGAATGGGACTCTCTGGGTCTTGTATAGTTGATTTTTCCACGGCCCAAGTTGATTATTTGTAGATATCCTGCCTTGCTTCTGGTGTTCTATGCTAGCTTCTTAGGAAAGGTGTAAATCCAAGTCAATGTGGCATGCTCCAGATGTGACTTTGTGAGTCATGAGGGTTAAAAATATGTCCGTTGGGCTGGGTGTGGTGGCTCATGCCTGAAATCCCAGCATTTTGGGGGGCTGAGGTGGGCAGATCATTTGAGACCAGCTTGGGTAATATAGCAAGACCCCATCTCACATAGTGAGACCCCTACAGAAAACTTGCAGTACTACATGTGCCTGTAATCCCACGTACTTGGGAAGCTAAGGTAGGAGGATCTCTTCAGCCCGGGAAGTCAAGGCTGCAGTGAGTCATCATCACACCATCACATCACTGCACTCCAGCCTGGGCAACAGAGCAAGACTCTGTGTGTGTGTGTGTGTGTGTGTGGTGTGGTGTGTGGTGTGTGTGTACGTATGCAAGCATGCACACATGTACATGCTAGGGGAAATTAATTCAACAGCTATTTATTGAGCACCTGTTATATGTATACTGGATGCTGTGCTGGGCATAGGGATAGAAAGATGGCTGAGATGGGATCTTGCCTTCAAGGAACTTTTAGTTTAATGGGAGAGACAATTTCAGCAAAATATTCTCACCCGCAGTGATAAAATGATGAGGCTTCCTCGGAGTTGTGTTGAGGTGAGTGACTCCTCAGGATAACCTGGCCAGGGGCATAGAGACATGGCTGGGCAGGGTGTCAGCAGGGAGAGGAAGGACCATGCAGGCAGGAAGGAGCCAGGCCTCCCTGAGGACACTTGGGCATCTTAGAGGTCATTGGAGAGGGAAGACTCATTGTGATGTTGGCACTGGACCCCAGGGAAGGAGCTGGCAACCACTGTTACCCATTCTTAGAACATTCAGTGTGATGACTGAATGCCCCCCTCTCCCCCACCTCCAGCAACTCGGGAGCTCCCGGCTCAGCTGCTGTGCCTTCTGGTGGCACCTCTGCTGCTGAGCTCCACTCTGGTTTCATTCCTCCACCAGCACCTAGTTTGTGTTTTGTTTCGTTTGTTGCTTTTGCTTTTGTTTGAGATGCGGTTTCTCCATGTTGCCCAGGCTGGTCTCAAATTCCTGGGCTCAAGTGATCCACCCAGCACAGGCTTCCAAGTAGCTGGGGTTATAGACGTGAGCCTCTGTCTCTGGCTTAGCCATCATGTGTTTTATAGCTAAAATATACCAAGCTGGTTTACGTCTTATCTCTCTTAATTTAGGTAACTGTGAAAGTAGATGCCTTAAAATCCTCATTTTAGGAGTTTTTATTTAAAAAAATGGAAGCTCAGAACAAGGAAGTTTTTTGCCAGAGGACTGAACAAAGATTTATCTCCTGTACTTCTCCCAGATGCTGAGACTGTGTTCATCTAACTCTGGAGACTGCCCTTGTAGGGGTGAAAAACTTAAAGGTCATATGTACACATTAGGGTCCAAACAATACTCTTGTTTTCAGGTGACCTGTGTGGAAAAAGCTACCTTTGGCAGGCGTTTGAGTTGGCAAGAAAAAGAAATCCCAGTGGGCTTCCTTCAGATAGTCTTCTTTCTGTATGTTTGTGACATGGAGCGAGATGTCATAAATGTTGGGTCTAAGTTAACACTTTTGCTGATAAGGGAAGGTCTGCTGCTGAGGTGCCTGGACGAGGCAAGCAAGGGAGGCTGGCTGTGCATGGCCGAAGGCCCTTGAGCTGGAGGAAGGCCTGTAGAACACCAGAGAAGCCTTCTGCACCCATCCATTCTTTCTCTGTCCTTCACCGGCCTCCTTCTGTCTAATCCTGGCCACTCACCGGAAGTGCATCAGGCAGCAGGTCCCTGCCATCTGGCTCCTTCCTGGGCCTCCACACCCTCGTGCTGTCCATCTGCATAGACTGCCCTCACCCTGCCCTGAACCACGAGAGCATGGCCCAGTCCCTATCAGCTCTGTGGCCTGAGCTGCAGCTCAGTCCCTGACACACAGGAGGCACCTGGTCAGTGTGGGGTGAACAAACGTGCACACAGAGCACAAATGAGAGGAAAGAATCTTATGAGGTGCTTGAGAGTTGGACATGACTTTTAAAATAAAATTGCCTTTCTACAGTGCTTTGTCCTCAAGCCTGACCTTCACATACATAGTGAGTACAGGTGAATCTTAGGTGCTCTGACCTGTGTACAGTAGTTACTCTTAAGCCATCCTGATCGGGGCCTGCATCACGGATTCATACATAATCCCAGCCAGGTGGCTGCACTGTGGCCACTCTAGGGTGCTGGCTGCATGATGATGGATGTGGTGATCTTATTTCATCAGAATCCTAGTCTTTCCTCAGTGCTGCAAGTATTTAGCAGGTCCTCCCAGGGAAAGTACAAAAGGCCTCCAACAAGAAAGAACTGAGGGAGGTAGGACCTCTTTAAGTGGGGCATGTTCTCAGACAGAAGAATGAATTCTCAGTCCATCAGTAAGTACTAAACTCCTGGTAAATGCCCAGCTTCCTGGGTGCTTAGGTATAACAGAAACATTTCAGCTCCTGGCTGTTTGATAAGTAGAAACATGCATGGAAATACCACCAAAAATACAAAGCCATTTACGTATGGTGCCATATGAGTGTCACAGACAGAACAGAAGTTGGTGGAAAGTGTTACCGGTCTGATAGGGAGGCCTGGGGAGGGGCTGGGGCACTGGGTCAGCCACATCTGAGGGACAGTGAGTTTTGTAGTTCAGCAGAAGGGTGTTATGGAGATGGTGGGAGCTCAGCAGGAATAGTCATGATGATTGTGCTGGCTTCACCACAGAGCACCTCCCATATGCTGGGGTGGGGTTCCCTTCAGGAAGACGAACAAGGTGCGGCCTGCTCAGGTGCACCGCCCTACCACCTTCCATCCTGAGCCAGGGCTGGGCTGCCAGCTTTCCCTGGCCTCAAACAGTTCAAATCGATTTTCTGGAATACATTTTCCTTGCTACAAAGGTTATATTGTAATGGTAAAAACCGCAACTACTTTTGCACCAATCTAATGTTCATTGCAATTTTTCTATCTAAAAAGTATGAAGAGGAAAATAAAGTTACCCACAATTTCACTGCCCTGAGAGAAAGAGCGTTAACCCTTGGTGCACATTCTCCCAGGCAAAATTGTAGTGATAAGTGCCAGGTAGTGGGTGTGAGCAGCCAAACCTCATATGGAGCTTCGTAGTGAAAAACCCACCGTCAGCAGCATGGCTGGCCCCAAACGTGTCCATTGTTAATGAGATGAACTCAGCTGCCTAGTGTTGGAAAAAATTTCCCTTTACCATTCCTTAGAGCAGAGCCGACACATGGACTCACTCACACTCCCTGAAGTGAGCCCTGTTTGTGGGGCAGAGCATCCCTGGGCTGAAGGTGAAGCCAAGCCTCATCTGGAACCACAGCCTCTTCCCAGAGCCCCAGGAGGAGCCTCAGTGAGGGCCCCAAAGTGACCCAAAGCAGCGTGTGTGGTCTCTGAGCCCAGGCGTGGGCCTGTCTGCTACACAGCTCAGGTGGCTTCTACAGACGTCTTTACCCACTTCATGCCCATAACTAGAAGCAGATTGCCAGATGATCCGTATGCTGTTGCCATGGGCCTATTTTGCTTCATCATAAGGGCTGGGATGACTGAAGCCGTGGGCTGGTAGTCTTCACCTTTTTGTTATATGAAGTTAGAGCTGAGTTATTTTGAGTAGCAGAGCATAATGCAGAGAGGAATCTGGGTGGAATAACCAGCCGAGCCAGGGCTGGCAATAGGAGAAAAGTATTCGAGTTCTGTTGTACTTTGTAAGAAAATGCATGTGCATATAGCCTGGTGTCTGTCTGTATATATCATTTGTATAATTTATGTACTCTGTGCAATTGATAGTAGTAAGCATCCTTCACTGACTGTCTACTATATCTTGAGTACTGCTCACCATTCATTCTCTGTGACATCACCAAACATCCCTGTTTTGCAGATGAGGACATGAAGTGTTAGCATGGGGACTAGTGTGACTGGGACTTGCTCCCTGAGCCTGAGGCCTAGGCTTTTTCATCAGGCCTTCTGCTGTCTTCCTCCTTCCTCACTGGGTTTTGCATTTAGCTTCCATCTTTATTATAAGAGGGACTTGTGGCCCTCTAGAGGTCAGAGGCTGCTCCTTTGACCATGAGACGGTCATTTCATTTACTTCCCTAAAAATGGAAGGCGAAGGGGGCATCAGGAGCACAGAGTCCTAGAAAAGCAACTTTTCAGAAGAGCCTTCTCAGGAAAACTCTTCCAGGGTCTTCTCTGCACCTTCCCAGCTGCCTGGCAGGTGGGCCTCTTCCAGGAAGTGCCAGCATTGAAGTCACTGATTTCCTCCAGGCCTCTTTCCAGATGCTCTATTTATGGGTGTCCCATAAGCCATTGGGAAGCCTTTCTGTATTCAGGTCCTAGTCTTCTATGGCAGAGGTTCTCAATTTTAGTGTCTATAGGAATCACCTGGTGCTTACCAACACAGCTCACTGCACCCCCTCCTCCAGTTAGAGCCCACCTCTGAGTGAGCAGATCTGGGTGAGCCTGAGAAATTCCATTTCCAAATGAGCAGCTGAGTGGGGGCCATACGTGGAGTACCACTTTTCTAAGGTTTTTGCCAGAATCCCTCAGACCTGCCTTTCCAAGGCCCACACTCCCCTTTAAAATCACTCTGCAAACCCCTCTGTGTTTACTTTAACAATTGAGACAGATGAGCAATGGCTGCCATCTGACATTGAGTGAGGTCATTATTTTTTAGCCTCTGAAATCAGACAGAAGTGATGTTTGGTCTTTTGCCTCGTACAGCATGTGGAGCTCATTCTTTGGGGAAACCGGGTGTTTCAGGTGGTGAGAGTGGCTGAGGAGGCTGCGTCCACACTAGCCAGTTCCATCCACCCAGAGCAGTGCATCAAGGTGCTCTGCCCCATCATCCAGACGGCGGACTATCCCATCAACCTTGCTGCCATCAAGATGCAGACCAAAGTCGTCGAGAGGATCGCCAAGGAGTTGTTGCTGCAGCTCCTCGCCGACATCATCCCAGGCTTGCTGCAGGTAGGTCCTCATGTTGGTTTGCCTGTCCCCAGCCTGTGTGGTCCACATCACTCAAAGTAATGTAAGGGCTTTCTGCTCCCCCTTCACTGGCAGGGACGGGTAGGAAAAACCAGGCAGGATCCGTGAGGCCGTGTGGCAGGGACACTTCACAGCCTTCCAGCTCACCCCCTCTCCTGAATGCACTAAGAAGACTTACCTGGAAGCTCACAGAATGAACTTTCTGTTTACTGTAAACATATTTTGATCATTTTTTTTGTCCACTCCTTCAACAAACCCTTACTGCACACCTGCTGTAGCTCCAGCCCTGGGCGAGGTGGACCATGGGGTGTAAATCAAACAATGGTCCTTGGTCTCATGCAGCCCACAAATACTTACTGAAGGTCTTCTGAGCATGAGGCAGTGAGTAACACAGACAGCTGCCTTCCACTGTGTGGACTGCCTCAGAGGATTTTCAACCTACTGTGCAGCCATGAAGACAATTACAGATGTCGCCATGGGCTACATGACAGTAGCAAAGTGGTTTCCAGATTGGGGTGGGGGACAGAGAGGGTCTGTAGAAGAGGTGGTTTCAACTTGGCCCTTGGTGAGGGAGGGAGTTTCACTGGGGAAAGGTAGAGAGGAGTTAGCATTATATTTAATAAATGCTGCTGTTTGCTGGGTGCTTGGGTTGGGGATTAAACACAACTGTCGAGGACTAGATTATTCCAAACAAAGAGAAAGGCACAGAGGCTGAAGAGTCCTGGGCTGTTTGGAGAACAGCAGCAGGTAGCCCCAGCTGGGTGTGGGCCAGGATGAGGCTGACAGGTAGATGGAGGTCCAGTTGCAAATGGACATGGACAGCTGGGTGCAGTGGCTCACCCCTGTAATCCCAGTACTTTGGGAGGCTGAGGCAGGCAAATCAAGGTCAGGAGTTTGAGACCAGCCTGGCCAATACAGAGAAACCCCATCTCTACTAAAAATATAAAAAGTAGCCGGGCATGTTGGCACACACGTGTAATCCCAGCTACTCAGGAGGTTGAGGCAGGAGAATCACTTGAATCCAGGAGGCAGAAGTTGTGGTGAGCCGAGATCACACCATTGCACTCCAGCCTGGGCAGCAACAGTGAAACTCTGTCTTTAAAAAATGGGACATGGATATCAGGGAGTGGCACCAGATGTTCCCCAGCAATCAGTGGAGGGTAGAGGGGTTTTGCTCACAAGAGTGAGTGATGTTCTCATTTCTTTAAAGGCATTTTTACAAGGAAATTTGCTTTACCTTTGGGAGAAATGGTAACAAAGCAACTTAACTTACCGCTTCATTCCCTTTTCTCATTCTCTCTCCCCTACAATGTTTCTTGGGTGGCAGCTTGTTACAGGTGGTGCCTGTGCAGATGCAGAGACCAGCCTGGGACTCACCAGCCTCCTGCTTCTGCACCCCAGAAACCAAGTTTCTCTTGATGCAAAGTTGTGACCTCTTTGGGGTGAAAGCTCTCTAGATTCCGTTGCAGGGCTGAGGTCTATCCTGGTTGTCACTGACAAGACCAAGGTTGAACCCTGAGGGAGTTTGTGGAAACGTTGATGAGATGTTGACTGTGGAATGAATCTCTGATCTAGTTTCCTTTTTGTGTTTCCTTCTGGCTCTCTAGGGTTATGACAACACTGAAAGTAGTGTGCGTAAGGCCAGTGTGTTTTGCTTAGTGGCAATTTATTCCGTAATCGGAGAAGACCTGAAACCTCACCTCGCACAGCTCACAGGGAGCAAGGTATGTATAGTGTTACCTGGGCTGATAACACACACCTGGGCTCTGCCAGCTTGTCATAAATCCATTTGACTGAAGCTCTGGATTCCACACAGGTTTTACTCTTTGTGTTTTAGCTGGGCCTTATTTCTCCAAAAGCATTTTTTTTTTTTTTGAGACAGAGTGAGACTCCAGGCGCCAGGCTGGAGTGCAGTAGCACAGTCTCGGCTCACTGCAACCTCCACCTCCACCTCCCTGGTTCAAGCAATTCTCCTGCTTCAGCCTCCCGAGTAGCTGGGACTACAGGCGCATGCCACCATGCCCAGCTAATTTTTATATTTTTAGTAGAGACGGGGTTTCATCATGTTGGCCAGGATGGTCTCGATCTCTTGACTTCGTGATCCGCCCACCTCGGCCTCCCAAAGTGCTGGGTACAGGCTTGAGCCACCATGCCCGGCCAGCATTTTTCTAAATATAAAAATGAACTGTACAGTGAAATCAGTTTAAGATAACACTGACATTATACAACATAGTCTGCCTTCACTCCTGTTTATGAAATGCTGATTTTGAGCTGCTAGTTTATTTCCAACTTATTTAGAAACCAGGTGATTTTTCATGGAAACAATTAAGAAATTTACCTGCTTGCTTCGCAGTTGCTGAATCAGAGCTGAGTCCCTCATGGACATTAGTAGTGGCAACAGCTGGGTCTCACCTCAAGCCTGCCACAGCCAGCGGGGCAACCCTGCGTACTTTGCATGTGTTGACTCATGTTTATGGCAACATCCCTGTGTAAGCATGGTCATCCCCCTTAACCTGCCCCAGGGCACATAGACCTGACTCCAGGAGGCAGACTTCTTACACTGCTACCTCTCATGTTCCTTTAAGGGTGTCTGGAATTAGGAAGAAAAGATGGACCAAAATGGATGTTATTGAAAATGAGAGTGGCTAGACTGTTTATTGGTTTTAATTAAAAAACAAACAAACAAACAAACTCAAATCTGACATGCTAGGCTGGTGAGAGCAGATTAAAAACCCTGCCTCATGCTGTGGCAGGAGAGGCACAGTGAAGACGAGAAGCCTTAACTCCCAGAGAGAGGCCAGCTGGGCCTGGGACCTCAGGGCTGCCTGTAGGGAAAGCACATCTCGTGAAGTTTGAAATCTCCGCCCCTCTTTTTGTATAAACCACTCGGTCAGATGAAGCCAGTGGAAAGCACGAAACCAGAAGCTTCTGCTCTTATGAGAGGAGGGGGCCATTTAATTTGAGATTGAGCTGTTGCTTTGACACAGCTGTTGAGTGTCATAGCTGGAGCCTTGCTTCTGCAGAGTTCTGGGGAAGCAAAGCTCTGGCTGGGGTGTTGAGAGCAGGGTTTCTCCACCTTGGCTCTGTTGACACTCCGGCCACCTTGTTGAGGTGGGCTGTCCTGTGTGTGGTAGGAAGCTGAAGTAGCATTTCTGACCACCACCGTCTATACCAACATGTGCCAGTAGCGCCCCCTGCCAGTGTGACCATCACTGCTTTCTCACACATGGCCAGATACCCTCTGTGGGGCAAAATCATCATCTCTAGTTGAGAACCGCTAGTCCAGAGGAGACACTTTCCTCTTTTTGTAAACAGGAATAAGCAGATAGGCTGGAAGAGGTGTATGAGGCAGGCGTGCAGTGCGTGGTTTGGGAGCAACCTGATTCTGTGCTCCAGTTCCTCCTCCTCTCCCTACTCCTGCATAGGCTGCTCATCAGATCCCCTCCCTAATTATCTGAAAAACACTGAGGAAAAGTCCCCCAGCCCTCCTCCCTCCCCCTACCTCCATCAGGGATCTGTAAGTGATTCATGCTGACCGGGAGGACCTAGGAGATACAATTCACAAAGGGAAATAGATTTATAAAATGGAGAATTCATCCAAAAATAACATGAGTCACACGTTGGTTTTGTCTGGCACTTTTTACTTTCCTAAGTAAGAGAGTTGTCCCATCATCTCATTTGACCCTTTGGATAAGGGACAGAAAATCCAGGTGTTTTCTCCTCCCCATTTGGCAGTTGACCTGCTGCTGCCACTCTTGGTGAAGCTTTGGGTCCAGAGCCCATGTTCCTAACCAGGAGCCAGCACCTTCCCTCCCCCAGTTCCAACCTCAGTTGGCTCAGGGGTTTGGAGAGACTGGCCTTCACATCTTTCTGCTTTGGTAGCCTAGTTCATCCAGCCAGAAAATTTTTTAAATTAATTATTTATTTTTTGAGATGGAGCCTCGCTTTGTCACCCAGGCTGGAGTGCAGTGGCATCATCTCGGCTTACTGCAACCTCTGTTTCGTAGGTTCAAGCGATTCTTCTGCCTCAGCCTCCCAAGTAGCTGGGATTATAGGTGTGTGCCACCACGCCTGGTTAAGTTTTTATATTTTTAGTAGAAATGGGTTTTTGCCCTGTTGGCTAGTCTGGTCTCGAACTCCTGACTTCAGGTGATCCTCCTGCCTCAACCTCCCAGAGTGCTGGGATTACAGGTGTGAGCCACCGTACCCAGCCTAAATTTTTTTTAATGTTATAACTCTGGTGTGTTCATAGAAACTTCGGAGACTCAGGTACACATCTTCTAATACAAAGTCCCTCCCTTCCTCAACCAGGTGGGTAGCTGGCAGAGCCTGGTGCTGTCTCAATTTCTTTGACTAGAAACAAAAAGAATCAAGCCATGGCTCCCTGTTTTCCAGTGTTACGGGCCTATCAGAACACACTCTCCCTTTGCTTAGATGAGGTTAGTAAATGATACCAGGGTCTGCAGAAAGAGGTCTGATGAGGGGAAGGAACCTGTATAGTGCATTCGGAGAGATGCCCCGTTGCTGTGGCAGCAACACTAGCTTTGGGCTCAGTTTGCCTTCTGGTCTCTGCTCCCCACTTACTAGTTTTATGACCTTGAACAAGCATTTCTTTCTTTTTCTCCTCTCCAATACAGTCTTTTTACTGTGGTATAATATAACAAAATTTACCATCCTAACTTTTATTTTTTTGAGACAAAGTCTCATTCTGTCACCCAGGTTGGAGTGCAGTGGTGCCATTTCACTGCAACCTCCGCCTCCCGAGTTGTCCTGCTTCAGCCTCCAGAGTAGCTGGGACTACAGGCACCCGCCATCACGCCCAGTTGATTTTTATATTTTTAGTAGAGACGAGGTTTCACCTTGTTGGCCAGGCTGGTCTCAAACTCTTGACCTCAAGTGATCCGCCCACCTCGGCCTTCTAAAATGCTAGGATTATAGGCATGAGCCACCACGTCCAGCCCATTTTAACTGTTTTTAAGCACATGGTTTATATTGTTATATAACCCTCACCACCATCCCTGTTCGAAACTTTTTTCATTTTACAAAACTGAACATTTGCACCCATTAAACAATAATTTACTATTTCCTCCTTTCCCAACCCCTGGCATCCACCATTCTACTTTCTGTCTCCCTGAATTTGACTACCCTAGGTATCTCATATAAGTGGAATTACATCATATGTGTCCTTTGTGGCTGGCTTATTTCACTTACCATAATGTCCTCAGGGCTTATCCATGTTGCAGCGTTTGTCAGAATGTCCTGACTTTTCCAGACTGAATGATAGTCCATTGTGTGTAGATAGCATGCTTTGTTTATCTGCTCATCTGTTGAGAAACCTGGCTGGCTTCCGCCTCCTGGCTCTCGTGCATAATGCTTCTGTGAACACTGGTGTACCTGTTCCAAGTCTTTAATGTTGGAGAAACTTCCCTGCTGTTTTCCACAGAGACTGCACATTTTACATTCTGACCAGTAGTGCACGAGGGTTCTGATTTCTCCACATCCTCACCAGCGCTTGTTATGTTTTTATTTTATTTTTTTCCACTTTCCTAATTTATTCCTAGTTATTTCTTTTTTTAATTTTTTTTTTACAATCACACTGACAACTGCTATTTCTAATTATTTCTAAGAGTCATCCTAATGGGTATCTCATTTGTTGAAAATAAATACCTGATGGCAGTTTCTCATCTGTTAAAAAGATTATCCTTTCCCATTGAATGGTCTTAGTACACTTGCTGAAAATTATTTGACTGGGCCAGGAGTGGTGGCTCATGCCTGTAATTCCAGCACTTTGGGAGGGTCACTTGAAGCCAGGAGCTCCAAACCAGCCTGGGCAACAGCAATAAATATATATATATTTGTTTTTGTACACATCTGTACAAAAATAAATTAATTAAAAGTGTGTGTGTGTGTGTGTGTGTGTGTGTGTGTTGTCACCCAGGTTGGAGTGCAGTGGCACAATATGACTCACTGGCACCCTTGGCCTCCTGGACTCAAGCCATCCTCTCTTAGTGGCTGGGATTACAGGCACACATAATCACAACTAATGTTTTTATTTTTTGTCGAGATAGGGTCTCACTATGTTGCCAGTCTGGTCTTGAACTGGTTTCAAACGATTCTCCCACCTCAGCCCCTACAGTGCTGAGATTTTAGGTGTGACCATACCCAGCCAGTTTTCTCTATTTTTCTATTCTCTATTTTGTTTATCTCTAATCTTTATTGTTTTCTCCTGCTAGCTTTGGATTTGGTTCTTTTTTTCTAGTTCCTTAAGGTATAAAGTTTAAGTTGTTGATTAGAGAACTTTCTTTTTTAATGTAAGCATTTATAACTATAAATTTTCCTCTTCGGCACAGCCTTTGCTGCCTCCCGAGAGTTGTCTTTTCATTTTCATTTGTCTCAAAATGTTTTCTAAGGCCAGGTGTGGCGGCTCACAGTAGTAATCCCAGCACTTTGAGAAGCCGAGGCTGGAGGATTGCTTGAGCCCAGGAGTTCAAGAGCAGCCTAGGCAACATGGCAAAACCCCATCACACAAAAATACAAAAATTAGCTGGGCATGGTGGTGTGCACCTGTGGTCCCAACCAGTCAGGAAGCTAAGGTGGGAGGATCATCTGAGCCTGGGAGGTCAAGACTACAGCCTGGGAGCCAAGATTGTGCCACTGCACTCCAGCCTGGGCCAGAGTGAGACCCTGTCTCAAAAATAAAATTTTCTTTTTTAAATATGTTTTCTAGTTTACCTTAGGATCTCTCCTTTACCCACTGGTTGTTTAAGAATATGTTACTCAATTTTTACAAATTTATGAATTTTTTTAGTTTTCCTTCTATTATTGATTTCTTATTTCATTTCGTTGTGGTTGGGAAAGATGTTTTGTATGATACCTTTTAAAATCTATTGAAGCTTAATGTGTCCCTTGAAAAGAATGTATGTTCTGTTGACTTCGATACGCATCTGTTAGATCAAGTTGGTTTACTGCGTTAAGTCCTCTGTTTCCTTGCTTATCGTCTGTCTGGTTCTTCTATCCATTATTGAGGGTTTGGTATTAAAGTCTTATCTCCAGAAGCTTTTTTGATGTAAAGTCTGTTTTGGCTGATATTAGTATACCCAGTCTTGCTCTCATTGGTTACTGTTTCATGGAATATCTTTTTATATCCTTTCATTTTCAGTTCATTTGTGTCTTTGGATCTAAAGTGAATTTCTTATAGACAGCATAATTGAATCACATGTTTATCCATTCTGCCCGTTTCTGTCTTTTGATTGAAGAGTTTTATCCATTTACAATTAAAGTACTGCCAGGCGCGTGTGGCACACGCCTGTAGTCCCAGCTACACAAGAGGCTAAAGGTGTGAAGGTTAGAGGATTTACCCTCTGAGCTTGGCCCAGCCATTTTACCCTTGTGAAGTGGGGCTCTCACCCTGCTTTTCCCTGGCTCTGATGGAGCCTTTGGCTGCAGTCGCCCTTGAGATGTGTGGCCCTGCTCCTCATATCCCTTTCTCAGGGGCTGCTGCGGCCCACCTGGTTGTGACACCTGGTGTTGTAATTGCCCACTGCTTTTCCCTCTCCTCCTTTCTCCCTCTGTGGCCCTAGCACCTGGCAGATGCATTGGATGAGCAGCAGGCACTCAGAACATGTTTTTATAATGAATTCCGCAACCAAGGGGACTAAGGGACTTGCTGTGTTCTTACTGTCACCTGTGATTCTTTTTCCTGTTTTCTACTTTCGGATAGCTTTTCTTCCTGCTAATTCATTTTCATCTTCTCTTTTCAGATGAAGCTACTAAACTTATATATAAAGAGGGCCCAGACCACCAACAGCAACAGCAGCTCCTCCTCCGATGTCTCCACGCACAGCTAATAGCAGCGCCTGTCTCTTGTGTAGACCTAGAAGCAATCGGTGGTGCCTCTCAGAGACCTCTCCCTACCCCTTCATCGGCTGCCCAGTCAGTACAAGGAGGCCCACAAATATTTATTACAATCAGTATTTTGGTCCCTTCCAGCCTTTCTGTAGAATCTTACTGGTATTAAATGTAAAGGAAGCAAGGCCTGTATTGCAGTCTTCATGCAAAACAAAAGGAATAAGAACAGAAAAGAGCCATACTGAAACATGTCTTGTGCAGCCTGCTGAGATGGTGAAACCGTGCGTGTGGGGTGCAGTTTCTAAAAACCAGAGCGCTCTGGCCACTGCTTGGTAGAAAGTAGCATTTTTTTTTTTTTTTTTTTTTTTTCAGTTAATAACAGGTTTGAGGGTGGGGTGGGGTGTTACTTTGTGTCCCTCCTCCTTAGCCTGTTTTCTTGTGAGTATGGTCTGTGTGGGGCCCCTTTCACAGCCGACACCATGAAAGGTGATACATCTTTAAGTTATGTTCTGAGACCTACTAAAAATGGGAATCAAGTCTTGGCAAGAACAGTCTAAAGATGGCCTTTTACCAAACGCTGGGAATTTTGCTTGTCTTATCCAGACTGGAGGCCAACTGCCCTGGCTCTTAGCATAGAATCAGAAGTGCACCCCTCAATCTCCTTCCAGCCCTCCCTAATCGACTCCACAGATGAGGTCCCTACCCCAGAGCTTCCATGCAAAGGAATTCTTCGAGTTTAAATCTGGACACTAAAATAAGATAAATGTATGGCATCATTGAGGGATGTCTGAGATGGTAGTTCCCGAAGCACGGAAGATCAAAGAGAAGTCTTTCATCTTTACTGCTGAGTTATCACGCGGGTTCTGCCGGGACCCCCATCCCTGGGCTACTTGGTGATTCTGATTTAGCTCTAACTTCTCTCCTCTCCTCGGCGCTCTCCCCAAGCTGCTCAGTTCTAACATAGTCTGGGAAATGGCGTCTTCGTTCTCCATTTAATGTAGGATTAAGAGCAAAGAAAAGCCTAGAGAGACTGGATATCACAATTAATTTTTTAAATTTTATAAACTGAAGTAGTTCCTTGAATGTCTGTTGATGAAATCGTCACTGTGTAAGGAGAAAGTAAGTATGAGGAGTACCAGATTGCAGGAAAACAGGATTAGAAACACACTTTAAAAAAACACACACATTTAGAGTCTCTCTTCCTTCCTCAAGGAACCTCTAGGCCCCCTCTAAAAACGCCTTTAGGGCCTAATCACTCCAACAAAAGTAACTAGAGGTTTGGAGTCTGGTTAAATAAATTTTGAGTAAAATTCTTAAGCCAAATGGAAATTCTTAATGCAATCATGAGGACTTCTGTTGTTTCTTACTGTTGTATTAGATTCTATAAATTGAACTGATTCTTCCATAAGGGAAATGCTTCTTTGAGATTAATTATAATAAGGTATTTGCTATTCCGGTGCAGAGCCCACTGCAGCCTACTAGCACTGAAAGCAGAGGCTGGGTGCCAGAGCACATGATTCTCACCGTCATTTCCGCAGACCCCTCTGCCCTGCCCTCTGGATTGGCTGTAGGAAGCTGGGAAAGACTGACGTTGTATTTGGAAACATGCACTGAAAATGAAGGCCCCATAATGCCCAGGAACAATAAAGCCCGGGTGCTGACGTGTGTTTGTGTGTGTGTGTTTGCACACGTGTGTGCACCTTACACGTGTGGTACCTCACTGCTGCTGTTTAGGGAACTTGAGGGGTACATTTCAAGGGATTGGGCATCACTGACTGGCTTTGGCTCAAATGTAGCAGGACCAGGTCTTTCGTTGCTAAATACCGTTTGTTTGTTAGTATGTCATCAATGGTATTTCTTTTTTACACTCTACAAGTGAGTTAGGGAGTCTTTTGTTGATCCCTCTGTTGTAGGAATGTGTGTCAGGCTAGGTTATCCATGAGTTCCTTTATGCCTAATGCAGTTAGAAGGACCCTTCTCCTTGAGCTCTTTGACTCCCAGAAGGCCCCCCAGGCCCCAGCGTACTTATAAAGGATCTCGAACATTGCTGGACATCCTCATAGTACTCACCAAGGGCTAGCCTCGAATGTCACTTGCCCAATCTTCAATCTCCCGACCTAGAGAGAGAAACAATCACGTCACAGGTCTCTTGGCCTCAATCTGAAAACTGCTGCTGCCGCGCCGAGGAGAGTCGCATGCCGCCACCACCTCACTCGGAGGGTGCCGAGGCCACCCACCTTCGCCCCCCAGACCCTGACAGCTGCAGCTGCCTTGCCTTGCCGCCACCTCCCTGCAGGGCCCCTGTTCCAATGAAAAACAACACAGAAGAGCAGAGCACCTAAGCCTGTCTCTGCCTCCCTGTCTACCTGACTGGCCAGGGCCCTGGTACCCCTGCTGCTTGACTGTGGGCCGGGCAGTCTGACTTCCTGCTTCCTTCAAGCTGCTGCCTCCCCTGCAGCCAGGGTCTGGGCAGGGTACAGCCGGTCCTTGGGGCACGCAGCTTCCTTCAAGTGCACTGTGTGTGCTTCCCGGACCTGTGGCAGATGCCACGGGGCTGCCTTTTCTATGCGCCTCACTAGCTGACCACTCTGCAGGTAATGCAACTGACTTCATTGTCTCATCAGTCCTTTTCTTTCCCTGCCGTCCTTTATTTATCAAGCATAATGTTACACTTTAAAGGTCAGCAAATAAGAACTTTGTAGAATCCCACCAGGACTTTGCTAACAATGTTTGGAAATTTAAAAATGCTCTGAAAAATATCAGCCACCGAAACCGTTTTGTTGGCACTGTGTTCACACGCATGGTCCCCATACCCCCAGACTGGGTGGGTTTTTTTGTTTTTTTGGGCTTTTTCATGTTACATCTATATCTGTATTTATATCTTATTTGTTTCACTTTCAAGTGTATCATGGCAAATGTACAGATTTTTTTGTTAATAATGTGCTAGGATTTGCTAAAAAAGAAAAAAAAAATCCCTTTTGAGTTTGCCCTAGAATAAATAAGACTTAATTCAGCGTTGTGCTTGGTGATGTCTGTATCTCCACCATGCCCTGTAGACAGCTGATTGCTCTCCCTGCCATCAGAACACAGCCATTTCAATAAAGGATCCAGGAGGAGTACATCAGGAGAGCTCTTTCCCGTCGTGACATCAAGAGGTCAACCTTTGTAATCCCTGCATTCTTGGAGGCCGAGGCGGGAGGTTCACTTGAGCTCAGGAGTTTAAGACCAGCCTGGGCAACATGCAAAACCCCGTCTCTACTAAAAATACAAAAATTAGCAGGGTATGGTGGCAAGTACCTGTAATAGCAGCTGCTCAGGAAGCTGAGGCAGGAGAATTGCTTGAGCCTGGGAGGCAGAGGCTACAATAAGCTGAGACTGTGCCACTGCACTCCAGCCTGGGTGACAGAGTGATACCCCATCTCAAAAAATATGTATTAATGTTAATTTTTAAAAAGAGGTCAACCTGGGGAAATGTACCTGATGGAGTCCCCTGGGAGTGGGTTGCTGTGCCGTTTGTGCAGTGACAAGGGGATGAGATGCATGGGCTGGAATCCCAGCCACACTTGTGGGGCCACGGGAGGAGGGGCCTCCCTCATCTGGGCTCCATTTCCTCAACTGGGCAGTGAGAACAGTAGCTCCCAGAAAAGGTGGAAGCAGGAGAAATCTCGGCCTCCAGAGCAGGCGGGCTCCACAGCCACTTCTTTGAAGCCCTTTTTTCCTTCAGTTCTTAAAATTGAGGCAAAGTATACATAACAACATAAAACACAAGATTTACCATCTTAACCATCTGTAAGTATGCTGTTCTATGGTGATAAATATACTCAGGTCATTGTGTGATCATCACCGTCACGGTGTTCTCTAGGGCTCTTCACTAGTGAAACAAACCCTGTCCCCATCAGGCATAAGTCCATTCCTCCCGCCACCAGGCCCCTGGCAGCCACCATTCTACTTCCTGTCTCTGAATTTGACTAGGCACCTCGCATATGTGGCTCATACAGTATTTGGCTTTCTGTGTCGGGCTTATTTTTGCTTAAATGTCCTTGAGGTTCATCCATGTCATAATATGTATCACAATTTATTTTGCAAATTTTTCTTAAAACACATGTTCACCTGCATTTAAAAATTTTTTTATTTCCTTCCTAAGGCTAAATAATATTCTGTTGTATGGATAGGCCATATTTTGAAGCTTTACTTTTTACTAAAAAGTTGTTTTCCATTGTGTTCCATGATACATCCCGAGTGCCACTATCCAGTGACTGTGGCCCACCCCCTTGGACCCCTGCCTGAGATGCCGGAGGGCGCTCTGGATCTCAGATACTTGAATTGGAATCCCAGCTCCGACCTGGCCCCCTTGAGCAGGTCACTTCCTGCCTCAGTCTTTTCGTTTATGAATTAAGAACTGCCAGGCTGTATTCAAAACTTTAGAAAAAAATAAAAAATAACTGCCTGGCAGAGGTGCCATGAGAGTTAATGGAGATGGTGTAAGTGAAGCAGCTGGGCCGAAAGAAATGCTCTGTTGGTCACCTGCCCTGCCTCCTACTGTGGACTGGGAAATGCACAGGAGGGTGACGTCATCCCCCTTTCCTCCCCACGTGCACACCTGTGCCTTGAGTCAGAGCCCATAATTCATTAGCAAAAGTGGAAAACCCCTGGGGCATGGGACCCGTTCAGGCACAGCAGCCTGTTGCGCTTTCTTGCCACTTTTCAGAGGGTCACAGGCCACTGGTGAAGGGTGGGGTACAGAGGCTCTCAGCATTTCTGGCTGATGAACTTAACACTTTGCAAGAATTCTGGTCTGAGGCATCTTGCTGATTTTCACACCAGTCCTGAGATAACAACTGACAGATGCACTGTGGTGTTCAGTTTCCAAATGAAACAGGCACAGGAGGAGTCCCAGCTAAACAGTGAGTGATAGAGCTGGACCCAGGCCCCGCTCTGCTCGGTCCAGCTGCACTCCCGTCCCCCCATCAGGCCTCACACCTTTCCATCTCTCCTGGAGTTGCCAGGACTCTCCTCAGAGTGCTGCACATCAGAACCCCTGGGGGCTTGTGAAGCCTATCACAGCTGGCCTGCGTTGCTGACCCAGTAGGGCCGCAGGAGCCTGAAAATGTGCATCTCTACGGAGCAATGCTGCCACTGCAAGGCTGGGGACCCCAGTTGGGGAACCACTGGAGAGCATATTGCTTAAAATGTAACAGGTGGTTTGACCCCAAGGTTGGGGACGATCCCGCAGGGTGTGGCTGAAAACAGGGCGTGGCATCAGGAATGGCAGGCCATCCCTGCCATTACAGGTAACTATGATGACTGGCTGGTAGGTCCGGGAGGATGAGGACTTTTGAAAGTGAAATTGGATGCTGTTAGCAGAGGAGACTATGGGGGCCTAGGCCGCCTGGGCCAGAGCTCCCTCTTTACGGCACAGCTCTTCCCCCGCAGGCTCAGCCCACCTCCTCCAGTATTTATTAACTCACACTTCAGCAGCTCCAAGCAGGAACGGACAAAGGTCATGTATTCTCCTCCCAGCTTTTTGTTTAAATGACATTAAAATGCCTCTTGCCATGCCCTCCTCAGCTTTGGAGGCCGGCCTCCAGGCGGACTTGGCGGGCCCTGGAGCTCCTGGAGACGCAGTGTTCCTGGGTCATTTCCCAGCAGCTCTGGGATGCCCTGCCTCCCCCTGTGCCCTGCCAAGTGCCTGGGAGCAGTCTGGGTGGGCCGGGCAGCGTGGCCTGCTACAGCGGTGCTTCAGGCTCTGCACCGAGGTGGCCTCTGCGACCCCATCGTGAGGACCTGGAAGGCTCCGGAGGTATGTCCAGGGCCAGCACCCAGGCCATGCCTCTCCTCTGGTCTCCTGCTTTCCTGTCTGCGTCCTGCCATTCCCCTGGACACTTGCTCATTCTTCAGTGGGGACAAGAGCTGGGACCTTTGTGTGCTTACTACTCCAAGCTGGCCAGGTGCAGTGGCTCATGCCTGTAATCCCAGCACTTTGGGAGGCTGAGGCAGGAAGATCGAAGGAACCTAGGAATTCAAGACCAGTGTGGGTAACAGAAGGAGACCCCATCTCAACAAAAAGTTTTTAAAATTAGCTGGGTGTAGTGGCAGATAAGTCCCAGCTGCTCAGGAGGTGGAGGTGGGAGGATCGCTGGAGCCCCGGAGATCGAGGCTGCTGTGAACCTTGAAGGCACCTCCGCACTCCAGCCTGGGTGACAGCCGGCGACCCTGTTTCAAAATAACAAAACAGAAACCACCCACCAAACTGTTTGGATGCTTCGATAAGCTTTCTGATTTAATCCTCACAACAACCCTGTGAGGCAGTTCCTATGATAATTCCCATTTTGCACATGGAAAACAGCGGCACAGAGACTCTGAGTAACTTGCCTGGGGTCACAGGTCTCTCATAAGACAGCTGGGATTCAAACCCAGGAAGTCTAGCTCTAGACTGAACCAGAGTCTCGCTTTGTCACTCTGTCCCTTCCCTGAGCCTCCGTTCCATTTCCAGCCACCTGACTTGTTAGCAAGGTCAGGTGGGCTGTGGTCACAGGCAGGCCCAGCTGCTGGACACCAAGCCCGTGGTAAACATTTCCACAGCACTCCCGGGAGCTGCTCACTGGGCCTGGTGGGGGAAAGGCCCACCTGGGTGCCGGAATCTAGGGCTTGAATTCAACCCTGTTTTGAAGCGTGGGTGTGACTTGAGCCAAATGACTCCAGTTTAGGACGACCTCAGTTTCTTCCTCTGTGAAACCCTAGGAGATGAGAATTGGGGAGGTAGGGCTGGGGGGCGTGTGTGAGGGTGTGAGGGTTAGCACACTGCGTTAAAGTCCCTGACACACCTCCGGGAGCCTCAGCAAATGTCAGCCCTCATCATTCCTATAGTGTTACTATCATGGAGGTCCCTGCCCTGGTTTCTGACACATCACGCTCCACAAAGTTCTGCACAAATGAACAACGGATGTAATGTCTCTGCCCATCACCCCCCAGTCCACGCGAAAGATTCACATGACAACCGTGGGCTTCTCGGCACCTCTCCCCACGGGGAGGATGACAGGGCTGGGGACAGGATGGGGCCAGCATCCCCTCTTGTTCACCCCCCATCCCCCACGCCTGCCAGAAGCCTCCTCAAACCAAGTGCTGTCAGGCCCGCCTTTCCTGTGAGTTTCCCACTGCTTACTGCCCTCTAGCCTGCGGATACTGATGCCAGGCTCTCCCCACCTTCCACTCCCCCTTCAGCATCCTCTGCAGCCCCTGGGAACCCATCTCCCATTGAGCAGATGCTGCTGGAACCCTCTCCTACCTGCCCCTCTGCTCCCAGCTCCCTACATCCTCCGCCGCTTCTATCCTCTTCCCCAAAGCTGCATGGCTGCTGGGTTTTCTTTTGCATTATTTTGTTTTTTATTTTTTAGAGACAGAGTCTCACTCTGTTGTCCAGGCTGGAGTGCAGTGGGGCCATCACGGCTCACTGAAACCTCGACCTCTTGGGTTCAAGCAATCCTCCTGCCTCAGCCTCTTGAACTCCTGGCCTCAAGCGATGCTCCTGCCTCTGTCTCCCAGAGTGCTGGGATTACAGGCCATGCCACCAGCCCACCCTGCTATTTTTTTAAAAAATGCTCCCCTGATGTGTCATCCTTTCATGTCAAACCTTACAATGCCTCCCACCCACCCCTCACTACCATACACACTCTTGGGGATAAAATTTCAAAATCTTGAGCATGATCTACAGGGCTTACCACCTGGCCCCTGACTTCTCCACCACCTCATCTTGTGCCACTCTGCCCCAGGCACTGCCTCCTGGCCTCGGGGCCTTTGCATTGCAGGCTGTGCCTGGCCCCCTGGCTACACTCACACCTGCACATGCACACACACGCACTCACTCACCTGCACAAGCACTCCTCTGCCTAACTTCACAGATCCCTCAGGTCCAGCTTAAATGCTAGGCCGCTTCCTTCTTTGGAGAATATTCTAAATTAGATCCTTTTACTTTTCCCTCCTGACACTTGTCACGCATTTTGTATCTATTTCTGCA